AAATGAAAATCTTAAATAAATTGTCTAAATAACCCAATTTTTATGAAAGTAAGAACCATAAGGAAATATGCTGGGCCCAACAGTCTTCTGATGTTGTCCATTTTGCTTCAGTAGGATTTAACAATGCTCAGCAGCATTTTGGCTCCAGATCTGCAGATGCTATTTCAGTATCATTAAACCAGGTCTATTCTGATCTGTGAAATACACCTGTTACTCATTTATCCCCTTCTCAGCATGGATTGGCAATCATGCTAAACTTCTAACATTTTGCAATATGCAGAACTGATGCATTGGTGGTACAAACCTTGAACTCTAGATTTATACCAGCCTTACTCCAGAAAAAATTGTTCCGTTGGATTTGGAAGGGACCTTCAAAGACCATCTACTTCCAACCCCCCTGCCATGGGCAGGGACACCTTCCCCCAGCCCAGGTTGCTCAAAACTGTCCAGCCTGGCCTTGAACCCTGCCAGGGAGGGGGCAGCCACAGCTGCTCTGGGCAGCCTGTGCCAGGGTTTCACCACCCTCTTCATAAAAAAATTTGTCCTTACATCCAATCTAAACCTACTCTTTTCAGCTTAAAACAGTTGCCCCTTGTCCTGTCACCATAGGTCCTGATAAAAAGGGTGTCTCCATCTTTCTTATAAGCTCCCTTTGTATACTGGAAGACCACTATAAGGTCTCCCTGGAGCCCTCTCTCCTCCTTTTGTGAGAAATCACAACTCTCTCGGCCTTTCTTCATAGGTGAGGTGTTCCCGTTCCCTGGTCATTTCTGCGGCCCTCCTCTGGACCTGCTCCAACAGGTCTGCGTCTTTCTTGTACTGGGGAGCCCAGAGCTGGAAGCAGTACTCCAGGTGGGGTCTCACCAGATCATCACTTCATACACAATCAACACAGAGATTTATTTATTTTTGTGTCAGAGTTTAGTATCTTGAAAGCAATATCCATGGAAAAACTGTAGAACTGTTTCCATATTGGATAAGTCAGTCATATTTCAGTGTGTATGTAAAATCATGGCAATCAGCATGATCAGAACACAACCTAAAACTTCACAAAAACAAGGGTACCCAATATTCACCCATACATCCTGTCTTTCAAAACTTGAAGGCTCTGTGGCTGACTTTTGTGATCCATTCCCTCACATGCATAGAAAATAGTTTGGTTTGGTTTGTTAGTTTGTTTTCATCCAGGTGTGGTTCAGATCATCTACCAGCCAGTACTGAGAGACCAAACGAAAAAAAACTTGGTGGAGAGCTAGTGTCAGAATCCCAGACATGTGGTTTCCTTCTCTGTGCCAAATGTGGCCAGGATAGAAATACTATTCTGGCTTACTGTATGCACATAAATTTGTGTATTTTGCATGAAAAGGCTGAAGGTTTGGTGGTAATACAGTGGATTATTTTTCACTTCCTGAAATCTACACTCAAGTGCTAATTAAAGATTCTGGCTAGTGCTGTCAAGCAATCGCCTTTCAAAGTAATGCTGTAATTAAAACTAGTGCTAGAGGGCATTTTGAACACAATGGGACTGCTTCTACGATTCTAACAGAGATGTAGAGAAGTAACTGAAGAGAGAATTTTGTTATCTGCAGTTATCACTACAATATGGATCAAGTAAGTTACACATGGGGAGTGTATTGTTTGGCTGTGCATGCAAAGTGAGAGTGTAGTTCTACCCTCACCAACATACACAGGTGTCTTCTGCCACACTTCCTGCTCTAGCCACTTTTTTGCTACATCCCTTACAGTGACATTAGTAGTCATAGAGCCACAAAATAAGAACTCCTCCTGGATGAGGGCAGGGAAACTAAGGCAGAGGGCTACCTCTTAACATGATTCTAACTGACAAGCCAATAGATAAAATGGCTACTCTGAAACAACTCTCTCTTATATTACCCTCTTAACATTTTTCTTCTGTTTGTAGTTCTCTCCTTTAGTTTTACACAACTTAATTCCAAAACATTGCAGCATATCCTATTCACCAGCTGTCACCCAGCATTTACCTTGCACACACTTCACCACTAACTTGGTCCACTGCTTCCTACAGAAGTCACAGAGCACAGAGTTCTGCCATCAATCTGTCACCCTTTCTCTTTCCATTCCATAAGACCCTTTGCAAGCTACCTCACATCATCATCCAGATTTAGGGAATTGAAGTCAAGCTTCCACGCCATACCAAAAAGGAGGAGTTACAGTTTAGGTGGCTGACTGAAATATCTCCACTGCCAAAACCTCTACTTTCAGCCCTGATAGAGGGACCAGACCTGACACACAACTCAGAGTACTGGGACATCAGGTACAAGCACAATCACAACTGAGACAAGCGCTAAGCCCTGCCTAGCGCTATGGCAGGAGGTCTGTTTTCACAATAAAAACGTGTCCAAGAGCAGCATGACTGGGGCTGTCCTGGCAGGGAAGAAAAGCCACAAGCCAGTGTGACCCTACACTGCAAGGGCAGTGCCAGCTCAGAACTGTTTTCCAGCTTTCACAATTCCTTAGTTTTGGTTTGCCCAGCTACAAAACCTAGCACCAGAATCTGAGAGTTTCCTATAGTTTGTTTCAAGTCCAAGAACTACAGCTCACACTACAGAAGAATATTTATCCAGTTATACAGTAAGAAGTGTTTATTACTACCATCCCTATTTTTAATAATGTCTCAAATGTCTTCAGTTTACATCACAGAACTAAAAGAATCATACCTTGTCCATTATATCATATTCTAAGCAGTTTAATGGTAATTTCTCTTATAATAGTTTAGCAAATATCAACCTGTCTCAGATGATTTCTTCGTATTTTTTTTTTAAATTAACCAATTTACCAAAATACTCAAATTTTGGGGTTTTATGCATAGTGTAAAGGTAGGAGATAGAATTAAAATTTTCTGGTGTTTCAGAAACTGTACAGTTTTTGTTTTTGTCATATCAAATACAAATTTATTCCTCAGCTACTTAAAAAAATAAATATATCTTCACAAGCTACTGACTCTTCCATATATATATATCTCCTCGCATCTCTTTGATCACATTCCTCCAATGATTCACTAATCCATCAGTAATTATAACTTCTTAGCTTCTTTAGCCTAAAAGCGACCCATTTATCACAGACTGTCATGAATCCAGGTTTTAAATTATCAAGAGTCCAATTACCGACAGGAATGGGGATACCTCTTTCCAATTAAAGTGACTGATTTCATGTAAAACCTTGTAACATTTCACTTTTTAATTAGGTACATCCTTATCAAATACAAAGTGGTTCACCCTCATTTTATTTTCTACCCAGAGAATTAAATGCAGTGAACATTAATCATACACCAATACAGTCCCAGACCTAATAACGCTTTCAGCATACTTTGACAACTTCTAATCCATCAGTGTATGATGTCTTTTATTCCTGTTTCATTCCAAACATTTACTTGAAATTCAAGAATAGGCTTAAACTTTTTACATCCAAACATCTCTGGATATATCTAAAAATATTAAGCCAGTTACAAGTTGAAATGAAAAACAGGATTCATTTAAATAACAGGAAAAAGATATGAAAATACAGAGTGTCAGCTGACACAGGGGCAGTGCTGTTGACATTGCTGTCCATATGAAACTTTTACCTCCAGGAGAATTATTAACTAAATAAGGATGTGGCAAATCCAGACTTCTAATTCTTATTTAATTCTTTCGTGACAGGCTTAGCAATGGTACCACAACTGCCACAGAAAGACCCTACTGTTGACAACTGACACGAGTCCCCTGGGACTGGGTACCTTCCTGACCTTCTCACCTGGGCTAAAGCACTCCTCACTGTGCAGAGCAGAAACAGAGGGAGTGCACAACCTCCCCAGCATCTTTCTCTTTTTAGGCCAGGCCTGGGAAAGAGTGTGGCCAGGGACTTTTAAACTACAAATTAAAGAGAGTGCTAGCAACTGCTTTGTGAAATCAAACAAAAGACATGAGATTTAATAGAAACAACTCACTAGAACAGGAACTGAAAACACTGTCCATTGAAACAACCCATCTTACAATTCCCTCTCTACATGCACAAACTCAGATGAAACCAGTATTTTACTTCTATTTTTCAACACCTTTGAATGCCTCAGGAGTGTTCATATGACACCAAGAAACAACTACTTCCAAACACTGCAATTATTGACCCCGCCTGGAAGTGTTGACATGAGAGAAACTGACTAGCACTCTCAGCAATGCCTTGATGAAATTCCTCCTCCTATTGGGATGAGGGGAAATAAGATTGAAATCAGATTTCTCTGTCCACCATAGCTCAGTATCCTGATTACACCTCTCAGGGATGCAGCTTGGAAGGGTAGAACTGTTGCATGAATGAGTCTGAAACAAATCTCAACTAATTCACCCAGTACATGCTCCAGTCTTCCCAGCACTCCTGCATCCCTTCTCACATGACATTCAATCAATCACTGCCTGCTACAGTAGTCTTCACTGTGCATTTTGCTTTTACATGAATTTGTCTTTCTGGGAAAAAAAAAAAAAAAAAAAACAAAAACTTTAATTGACAAGTTGCTAGGCACAATTCAGAAACAAAGAGATTCCCTGTTGGGTTCATGAATCAGCTGCATACAGCAGTGTGAGCTTTTTTTGTAATCACACATAAAAGCATGCCTGCTAAGAGGAATGCAAGGCTATTATAAAACAGAAAGCTTTACTACCTCTTGGAAAGAGATAAGCCACAGCTCCTGTTGAAAACAAGTACACAAAATTCAGAGGAAGTAGAATTTCAGAAAGTTAAAAAGCATACTATGTAACATGAGTTAGACCTTCAAGATTGGCAGGGCAAAAAGCATTCTTGGAGCCTTCTCATAGTAATACCCTTGTTTCCATATTAGTTGTAGGTAGGAAAAACTATTTTCAGAAAGAAGTAACACATAAATGAGGGAAGCTTAATTTTTAGGAAAAGGATGATACTGGAATCTAACATTCTAACACACATTATGCATGACATCCTTCTGAAAGTGACAAAAGCTTCAGACACACTGATACTTCATGGCATGCTATGATTAAGTTTTATTTTCTTCACCCGATTTAATTACTTTGAGTTACATTTAGTTGACAAAAAAAATCTCTAAACAGTAGTCAGAAAGTAATGACTTTTCGGATAGGAATGTAACTCAGCCCTAGCACAACTCCACTGACTTGCTGTGAGATTCCACCACGAAAGGAAAAGTCCATCATTACTATTATTAAATTGTTACCACTGTACTGGTATTACATAAAAATCAAAAAATTCCAATCCTGTACCAAAGAGCTTACAGTCTGAAACTAGCTGCAGTAATGCTAAACACTAAAATTGATACTAGCAGATAGCTTCTGAGTTAAAATAGGAGACTAATGTAAATATATAGTCATTAGCAGTAAATCCATAAGCTGAGAAGGAAAAGTGACTCAAGGGTACTATAATAGATGACCTTCTGAAGATCTTTGCATAATCACAGCTCCTTCTCTAGCCCAGAGTATCAAAGTCTAGAATAAGTCAGAAGGTTCAAGTGAGAAAGTTCGACCAGAAGTGTAACGTACTGTCAGGAAAAGGCAGAGAATTCAAGATTTGTACTGGTTGCAGCTGGGCAAAGCCTCGCATACAGAAGGCTACAGAACTGAAGCCATGAAAAGAGAGAGAAAATACTGGAGCAATTAGAGAGGGAAGACATTTAAGAAGTACTAGACAAGAACATCTGCTGCACTTTGGGCTAGGAAGTCAGTACAAAGTCACAGATCCGTTCAGTGGAATACAGAAATCCAGTTTGGCACAAGGTTAACAAATTAAAAACAAGTTTTTGGCAGAAGCAAATATGCACACTCCAAAATAAGAATATAAAATTAATAACTAAAATTAATAACCTATTGAAGTTTAATATACAAAACAGAGAAATGAACAACATCTTATGAATTGATTTAATTACAGACTTGTTCATCTTAGCTTTAAACCAATAAATGATAATACAAAAAAGGCCCAGTCCTACAGACTTTAATCACAATGGGTATTGCTACATGGAATTGTTATGATAGTACATCAAGCATGGGAGCAGAAGTCTGAAGGCAAGGTCCTCCAGTTAGGAACACAGATACTAACTCCTAAATATTGCTGGTGCTATACTATTGGAATATATCTGATAAACCAACTAGATAGACAACACTTAACATTAGTTCTAGCTTCACTGTACAGCCAGCATATTTGTAAAGCATTGAAGAAAGTTTATGACAAATTTTGCCTCCTGAAGTTTACTGAAAACAAGGCATTTCAGAAGTAATTTGTGACTAGAAGCAAGAAACAAGCTCAGATCCATAGCACCTTACAATGCTACTCATGTTTTAACTACACATTAAGAATATCGGTTTGCAAATTTTGGAACCAATCTTGATCAGCACGGGGATCCTCACCTTCAGTGAAGTCAAGGCTGCCAAGTCATTGCAAGATTAGGCCTCAATCCCATGCAGTTAACTAACAGCTACAGGAACTATAAGAAAATACAACTTGTGCGCTATAGCAGTGCAGTACCACAGTAACTTCCAAACACTTTAGCTTTTATTTCATTGATGTGCAGCATGGGTCTAGCCCGTGGGCATTTATGACTGATGCATCTGCATGAAGCTTCTCATGAACGTTGCAAGCTTCTGAACATCTTCTACAGTCACCGCGTTATATAGAGAGGCACGGATTCCTCCCACAGATCTGAATTGAGGAGGGGAGAAAAAATAGAAAGGTTTTGCATATTCTAAGAGAGACATTAATAACATTCAGACATTTAAACCTACCCATACTCCAAAGGGATAAAATTGACATTTTATGTGAATGAGAAGGAACATTTAATTCTTTAAGGCAAGCTTGCAACCTAGAGAAACTCAGTATTCACAGCCCAAACGCTATAGCCCTAGATATCAAAAAGCTGTCTTTTTAATTCCACAAACACCACTGAACATCGGAAGAAACTCTTGCAACCAGGTAGACAAGCCATGTAATGAAAGGCTTTATACAATGACAGAAACTGACCCCAAGAGTCACCTCCTTTGGCATTTGCACAGAGCCAGAGTTATCAAATTGGAAAAGAAAACAAAATTAAGCAGAAAGCACTCTGAACCCCACCACACCCAAGCAGTAGTTGAGCCACCAGCAGTCTCTGATTACTGTCTCTAGACTGCTACTCCCAAATGATGCCAAACCTGTATGAGGAACAGCCTGTGAGTGAGAAAGACTTGTAAGTCAATACACAATGTCTGATGCTGTATCACTGTAGTAACAATTTATTCTGCACAGGAAAGGGATTCATCTGACTAATACTTACCGATGCCCTTTTAGGGATATCATGTTAAGTTCCACAGCTTTCTCTAGAAATTTCTTTTCTAGCGCTTCATCACCCTTGATACTGCCAATACGGAAAGGGACATTCATTCTGCTTCGGCTCTTTTTCTCCACTGGACATCTAGAACAGTTGCAGAATGTAATGATTAACCCATTTTGTGCTAAGTTTACATTTTCAGCTATATATACTTTCAGAAAATGAGTAACTGCATTTGCTTAGCTCCAAACTAATTCCTCCATAATTGAAAAGGTCATTACTTTCTGTGAAAGAAAGCAACCTTCCTTTTTCAAGTGGAGGGCTTATTAACCCTTCCTGACATAACTCAAAATTGCCCCAGAGGAATGCACAAGAGGCTTGCAAACAGATCCCATTAAAAAAAAAAAAAAAAAAACAAACAACACCACAACAAAAACTCACTACCCCACCCACAACAGTCCCAGTTGCATTTCCTAGGGTAAATGAAGTTAGTTACAGTGAACTTTGACTAAGTCTCAAGCAGTTTCTTCTCTTTATCTTCAAAGACTGACACACTTGTTTTTACTCAGCTAGGTCACAAGTGCTACCAGAATTGAGTCTGACTCAGCTAAACAGAGCTAAACAAAGTATAAGGACATAGCATAACGAAATTTCCATGGACATCATAGACTTCTGTTAGTGGTTTCAGTCCACCTTCTACATTAATATTATTCAGAAACATAAAAATCTCAAGTAGAGAAGAGGTATCTCTAGAACAAATTTTGCATTGCAGACATGGCGACAACATACATGAGGTGCATCACAGCTCTTTAGATTAATGGGAATATTAGAAGACTAAAGTAGAAAATTCAAGACACATTTAAAGCAAAATTTAATTATTTTGTGAAAGTAAGAACAAGGGTAAAAAAATAAAATATTTGAATATTTTTCTTTAATGCTTCTAGTTACAAAGGAGATATGAAGCCTCCAAATTTATTCTTTCCTAAGGCTGTGATGTAGACTCTCACAGGGATTCATTAGGAATAATTTGTCATAAACTACATGTAAATTTCATACCTATTATTATTCTATTTGACAAAGAACGGGTATCATTCTTTTTTAGTTCCTCCCTTGTTTATCTGTACAGATGGCTCCATTATGAAGAGCACAAAAATAAAAGATCCATCATAATACCTGCCTATGCAAATTTTCTCCTTTAGATGCAACCAGGCCTAAGCTGGTAAGCATTCCCCTGTTTGAACAACTGTAGCTACACTATATTTTTTAGAAGATCCAGTCACTATTAGGCAATCTGATGTAACTCAGTGCACAGACTTTGGAAAGCAAACTGCATATGGCACACAGCACTTTGTGGAAGAAAGTCTCCATTTGTTAAATGGCTTGTCACACTGCTTACCCAGTGAAGCATGCCACAGATTAGGCGGCACACTACAGCTGGGAAAGCAGCTTCAGATAAGTCTTCCTTTTAGTTATAGATACAATAAAAAAAAAACCCAGTCTTAACTCTATTGCTTAGTAAGATACATACAGCTCACTTAGTGAAGCTTGCTTTGCCTTCCTAATTGACTATTTACCATCCCATCTGCATTGTATTTCCCACTCACAGCCTTACAGACCAGCTTGCCAGAAACAGATTTCTGTTTGTCACAAAATGTTTTTTCAAGGCTTCATTTGCTTACTGAGGTTTATGAAAAACCCTCAGGATTTCAGTAGAGTAGGATCACAATCCTGATGATGACAATGCTAAAGGCAAAGCTGTTCTCATTAACTAAATGGATAAGCAGAATGTATTAAATATTATGATGAAACTATATCCCTGCCAATTAAGGTTGCAGCCAGCTTTAATTTAAAATCTAAATTTAATTTGCCCTATCCTAACTTTGACTATAAAATTAATTAGGTCCCAAAACCGTATATTTTATATTGAAGATGAAGGAAAATATTTTGCAATTTCATAGCCAATTACCAGTTTTTGAACTTGGCAAGAATTAGAATTATATAGAATTACAACATCTTTTAACAATATATATTTTGGGTCTTGTGAGCTTAAAAATACCTTGCAACAATATGTAAAAATCATCAGATTAAATCTGCTTTGGAAAGTCATAAAATATAACTGAAGAAAAACTGTGCATAAAGAAAATGTATTACGTTTTGACTACATCTAGGTCTGATCTTCTTTCTATTTCAGAAAGTGTTTCAGAACTTAGCACAATTAGCTAATAAAAATGCTCTACTTGACAGAGAAAAAGCAGAATCTTTTTCTACCGAGACAAATGGTAAGAAGAACGTGATGCAAAAGTGGTCTCTACTATTTCTTATAAGCCACTTTCTCTGTTTTGGCCTGTATTTCCCCAAGAGATTCAACAGCATACAAACCAGAATCTGAGTATCTTTTTTTTATATACTCTTCTCCTAGGCTCCTGCAATTTATTAAGTTTAGAACACACGTTATTAATATGATTCACAACTGATCTATACAAGATAACTTGAAATAACTTCCTGCTGGAATGAGACTCATCCTTGGATAGTTATCATCAAGTGAATGATCTGAACAAATAATTCTTGTAGAACTCCTCAACACTTCCATATAATGAAAAGGTAACTTTAAAAACACGCTGCAATCAGACTCTTTAAAAAGTTATGAGTATGTTTGGCCCTGAAGTAAATACTGAAATGAAAGGGAAAAAGCACAGCAACTTACACATAGAATCCATTAGATTTGTCTATAATATCATAAATCATTCGTGATTTGATTAAACTAAGTTTATCCATAGCTGCAGCTCCGCCATTATTCTTTATCCATTCCAGTACCAATCCCATGATATAAATACTACAAGAGGAAAGAACATTTTTCAGTCAGATTATTTTAAAAACAAAAACAAAACACCCCCCAGAAAAAACAGTCCTGTTTAATAGTTCACAAAATGTTTTAGCAACAAAGCATTATGCTTGGTGCTAGGGTGTGTAAGATAACTCAGAATCTGAACTATTTTACAATTTGACAATTCTAAGCAGGCAATGTTTTTTTAGACACAAATGAAGTATCCTGAAATTCAAAAGCTACACAAATCTGTTGAACCAAACTTAATCCTTTGTACCACATAAGGGCAAATTCTGCAGGTTTCCTGCAGCCCTGCAGGGTTCCCAAGGACATCCCCAGACATGCCCCATGGACCACCAGTTCATTGACCACACAGCTGGTTGTCAAGTCCTAGAAAGGGCCAGAGTTAGCACAAAAGGTAGTAGCAACCACCTTGTGCAGCTGCTCTAGCAAAAATACAGGGCTGAATCTCAAATGTATGTACATTAATCACATTTTCACAAATGTTAAAAACTATAATCCTATTTTTGCCTTAAAAGACCTTTTGACCACATGACAGCTAAATTAGGTGAAACAAATAATGATGTATCACACTTAATTATGCTTTACCATTCAAGTTCTAAGTGGAGATCTGGAAGCCTACTGGCATCTCATGCCTCAGGAACAAGTATTTAAATCCTAGTTACTAAGTGCCACATGAAAAAATTCCCTGAGGCCTTTTGTCTTTGTGCTTTTGCTACAAAACTCTGCTTGTTCAAGTTCAGGCATTTCCCACGACTACAACACTTTACATAAAAAAACTGTCTACAAGCTTTTATGGCATATTTCCAACAAGTTTGCTTTTATGAATCCCTTCATTACATATTCTAAGGGAGTGCTCAGAGAACACCACCCTACAAGTTTCCCTAACACAACTCTAGCAGGAGGCTGTTTTAAACTTTGTTAGTTTTAATTTCTCAGAGGATGACAGCATCAAGTCTTTGAACACTGCAGAAAGACTTCAGAAAAAACAAGGTTACAGACTGCCTTTTATACAAAACACCTTATAGCTTTGAGACCACACTTGCCACATTTATGACAGCACACTGTCAACTATCCCAGTGTAAAGTATTTAAGTGAAGTACAGCCTATGCCCTTGCCAAATATACAGGGACCCATTCACCTCTTGCCCTCACTTCCTTGTAGGAGACTTCCTGGACAAGTTCAAAGTCAGTCATCCACAAAACCAAGCCAGCTGAAATATTTTATCCTTCATGTCAGTCAAAATAATGTTTCTGGAGCAATTTGAAATACAACATGCATTCTGGAGCTTGGAAATGAGATTTTTTTATAGCAAATTCATTGTTAATTTTAGCAAAGCAGATTAGTGTCAAAGAGTCAAGTTCTGTAGCACCAAGAGGTTAAAGCCATTAGCATCACCTTAACCTAATTTAACATCCTGCTGCAGTAGCTTTTGCAAATTTAGTTAGTATTTCCTGCCTGTTTGCCAGCAAACCAGTTGAGTGCAAGGAAAAGAGTAGAGAGAAAGAGAACTAAGCTGCTGTGCCAGTTTCTTACAAAAACTGGAGCAAGCATTTAGAGCCAAGCCAGATGTGTGCCCTGCCAACATTTCAGTCTGTGTTACATTCTGGATTCTGGAGTGTACTCCAGTGTGGGTCTGTAGCATGAAGTGAAATCTGGCAAAACAGTGATCAGAAGGGGGAAAGACTGTTAGCTCAACTTTATTTCCAGCTCCCTTAATCTCCAATTACCCTGTTAATGTTACTGACAAACACTGGGTTACAGCTAAAGCAGCACTTTCTTAGAAGTTTTCTGCAGTGGCAAAAATAAAGCTGCAGAATTTCATTTGTTTTGCTTTTAAAATCAGAGGAGCAACACTGTGTTCGAGTGCTGAGATTAAGAAGAACTTTGGTTTTTCAAATGGAAATAGCTTTGTACTTGGAAAACATGAATGGCTGGATTTAGAGCCTGGCATGTGCAAGTACACAGTGTCCAAAACAGTATGTGTGACTTGGCAGTCAGGAAAAAAATTCATTATGAAATAAAGGTTTTATCAATCATTGGAAAAAAAAAAAAAAGAGACGCACATACTGCCCATGTTACAAAGCTATATCCAGAAAGAAGACAAAAATCTGGAAGCACGGTAAGGCTGATTCTGATCTTAATAGCAGCCCTAAGGATACTGGGTGTACCCAGTTGATAGGTCAGACAGGCTGACATCAAGAATACATCATTACAGCACCGCATACTCTACAGTATACATACTCCTTGTAAAAACTAGTTGTGTGTTGTAAAAATCTGGAATAAACATATGCCCACAAGATTTACTGTTTTTTTGATAAATTAACTGCCTCTACGTCACTGCAATAGTACACCTCATGGTGACAATCAGCAGATTGAGAGATGCAGTTAGTATCACTTAAAATTCTACTTAATTTAAGTAAGCAGTGGCACTAAGGTAGGCTTTATATGCAGAAATCACTGTACTCTATACCTATACAGTGCATTTAATATCTGTTGGACATCATTAGGCAACTTAACTTTGCAAATTCAGTTCTTGCAGCTTTTTTGTTCATGCCAGAGATTAAGCATTAATATAACATTGCATTATCAAATTATCTGTATCAAAGGAAATCTTATCTTTAAAAGCAGAAATCATTTTTTTCAAAGTAATTTGCAATCTTCTGGGAAAAAAAAGAATGACTGGTTTGAAGATTTGCTTTTAAAATAATCATTTTAGTGGACACTGGTACAAAAATGCTCCAGATTAAGAATGGACAGATACTACTGGGTCAACACCTAAACATTCCAGTAGCAAAGCATCATTTCAATAGCTATCAGAAGCTAAGAGACAGTAATTATGAAAGAACAAGCTGTAGTCTGTTCTGCTTCTTGCACACATGAAGTCATCAGGTATGTGCCAATTTTATGATCTTGATTGCTAGCAATGATTATTAAGCTAGACTAATTTCATTTTCGGATGCCAAGTCAAACACTGAAGTGTTAGTCAAAGAAATATGGAAAGCTGTGCTAGAGAATAAAGCAAAGCAATGACTAAAATGCCATTTAAAAAAAAATTCTTTTACATTATTATTTCAAAACCAACAATAGTGAATGATGTAGCTAGAATAATAAGTATTTTTTTAAAATTAAAAGAATACATAATCTTGTAATATTTAATATTATTAAAACCTTTAATAGTAACGTTTACTATTTTCCAGAAAAGAAAAATGATAGGAATCTGGAGGTTCAAATGCCAAGAACAACCTCTGGAAGAAATTAAACTAAATTTGTACTGAGTGTTCAAGATGCAAAAATAAGTGCTGAGTTAGTTACTTGAAATGATAGAAGCATCACCACTGAATTGACTAGACTTGTGTTCATGTAAGTCAGAATTGGATCCTGAAACTTCTACAGTGGAATTATGACGTATAATATTTACTTCTAAAAATACTATGTCCTTTATGGCTGAGTCTGTCTAGGCAACCTTAAAGCCTACTACAGTCACATGGCTGGACACTTCCCATGTTTCTACAAGAATCATGTGAAACACTCCAACATCTCAGTGACTTGAAGGCAAACACTCAACATCTGAAACTTTTCTCAGAAAGAGCAGCAGATGGCAGTGCAGTATCTTTATGAATAAGAGATATTAAACAGCAAGGTAAATTACCTGTAGCATGGTGGAGTGTTATACAAAGAGCCATTTGTTGCTTGTGTTTTGTAATCCAGTACTACAGGGCATTCTTTCAGTGCAAATCCCAGCAAGTCCTCACGTACTATTACAACAGTAACTCCAGCACAGCCAATATTCTTCTGAGCACCAGCAAAAATCACGCCAAACTTTAGCAGGAAGAAAAGAAGTACTTTTTACATTCATTCACCAGCAGATCTTATAACTAATACACCAGTATCCAACAGGCATACAACTCAGCTGAACAGCTTGGAGAATGTGTTGACAATGAGCAAGTTGTAGGTCAAAGAAGAGTTAGAAGTTCTGATTTCAAAGTGCACTTACAGATACAGTTGTTATCCCACGTATGTCTTATCAGAACCACGTATCTTCATTCAACTGAGGAAGCTCATCACAAGCTTCCCAATTATTTGCTAAAAGCTTATTTAGTAACCACAAATAATTTTCAAGGCAGCCTGTCCCAATTTCACACTACTCCAAGCAGATCTACTAAGAATAATTCATACACAGATCACAGTATTTTCAACCAATCTGGTTCTTCAGAACAGGCATCATATAATTCACTCATTCAAAAAGGCAGATCAGGAAAGGTCAAGATGAACGCACTAACAGTTGTCCCTTCTTTTTGCTATACACAGATAAAAAAAAGTGAAACACACTACTTCACTAGTCAGTAACACTTCCCACTCCTAACACGCTTTACAAACATAAGCAAGTACTATATTCTGCCCCTGTATTATCTATGAAACAGACACAGTAATTGTGAGGCATGGGAAGTGTCAGCAGTTTAAAAGGGGTTACAGATTTTCCACAAAAGAAGCAGGATCAAAAATTCAAATTTAAGGTACCCTACTATAGCCATATATGCTATCTGCAGACTAAATACAATTCAGAAGATATTTCTTTCAGCTACAGCATCAGTGAAGACCACACAGAAGACAGTCTTTGACAGCTATTAACATCGACAATTTCAGTAGAGTTCAATATGTTTTTACTTAAAAAAGGACAATAGATAGGACATTGAAATCTCAAACTTTAAATTTCAACATTTGTGTTCACCATCAGATACTCAATTAACAAAATATGGTTTCCTTAATTTCACTGCCCAGCATCTCTGGCCATCCAGACATTTTCTAGTGCCTAATTATACGCATCCTGCTTTGAAAATACTTTGTGCAGCCACTGTGTCCAACGCTGTACCTTGGAAACATCCACAGGTCTGGACAGGAAGTTTGATGACATATCGCAAACCAAGACTGTTCCTTTGACATCAGGTACAAAGTCAAACTCCACACCATGAACAGTCTCATTAGCACAGTAATAGACGTAAGATGCATCTGGATTAAGATTCCAAGTGCTTGGGTCAGGAATGTCTGAGACAGGCAAAAAAAGAAAACCAAAGGTCACTGGAGATAACTAATTTTAATGGCATGCAATTTCACTTGAACACAGAACTTAAGTGCAAACCCAGAATGATTTTGCAGCATAAAGTATTAATTATCATGTTGCCAGGAAGATATAATTCATATGCGAAGCAAATACACCAGTGCATTCCCAGTATTCTGTAGTGAGCCATCATTAAGCTTGCAAAACACCATTCTGGCTTTTAGCCCATACGCCTCAAGGGATTTTCATCAGGTTTGCAACCCTGGACTACAAATTACTGCCCTAGGGGTTCAAAACAGCATTTCAAAGGATTTGAGGCACTGGATCCAAGAATCTTCCCAGTGTCTTTGGAATCACTGAAGCATCCAAATTCTCACTGGCAAAGTTCTCTAAAGCTGTGTATCCCCAGAAGCATTTCATCTTGCCCTAGCTGAACACGAGGTTACCCACCTCCCTCCCATTTAAGCATTGCGACTGATACACAAAACTAAGATTTCCTCTGTCAACATGCAATATACAGGCATGCCCTGACAGCACAGAAAAAAGTTTTGCATAGAACAAAATGGTTGCTCTTCCCTTCTTCTCTCCTGCAAAGCATGAGGGGGAATAAGTGTTGCTATTGCCTCCACCATTATCTACTGCTTCTCCCTTTATCTACCACCAAATGGTGAATATACTCCCCTAGACTGGGAAACTGTAGGTTCAATTCCTTCCTGTGCCTCAGAGAATATCAACTTATCTTTCAAGTTAGTGCCCTAATCACCAGTTAATTTAATGCACTAACTCATACAGGGATATTCTTTGTCTTTCCTGTTGCCACTCTTCCCAGTTCAAATGGTGTAATTTGGACCAGAGGAAAGGAAAGAAAAGTAAGCATGACTAGCAGAAGTAGAAACCAGAAATATGGTGTCCCTGCTCCAAGATTTATGTATATCCAGCAAACTGTACACTTAAAAATGCTCTTGAAACAGATTCTTTCATAAGAACTGCCAATGCCTCCATTAGAGTTAGCCTTTTTCTTCTTTCTACACTGTGGTCATCTGCATTATGTTACGTCCAGTAACAAGCTTCAGGATGAAGAGTTGAAAATGCCTCTTCTATTCCAGAGCCAACTACCTGTTATGACATGTGGCTGGGAAAGATAAGTATTTGGGAACACTTGAAAGTAGGTAACAGAATGCAGGTCTCCCATCTCCTGGGACAACAGGGTTAAGTTCCCAAATATGTTTCTAAATTTCAGAGAAATCTCATTACTGAGTGTACCTGAAACTGAAATATCTTACAATATCCCTGCAAATAGCTTAAAAACTCAGATAAATAAACAAAAAACAACAAAAATATCTGATAATTTCCCTACTGATACACATTTGCTTCTTGCCACGTATTTTCTGGAATCTTCTCAGATTAGTGTCAATTCTTTTCTGGTGGAGACTTAAGCCACCTAAAAGATCTCCCAGTGATGGAGTGATGTGGCCAGCAGTCTTCTGAGTGCTAGGCAGTCAGTTATAACTAGATAACATTCAATAACCCATTAGCTGAGTTGGACCAATTTTTAGAGTGATTCAAAAAGCTAAGCATTCACATGGATGGATGTAATCATCAACTTACTCGTATATGTTCCTAGTTTTGGATGAACGATATTCACTTTGGCATACTTCTCTGCTTCTTTAGCTGCTTTTGCTGACCAAGCTCCAGTAACCACATAATCAGCATGTCTTCCCTCCTTTAAACCAATAAGATTAAGTGGCACTGCACTGAACTGACCAGATCCACCTCCTTGGAGGAAAATAACTTTGTAGTTTTCCGGTATATTTCTGCATGCAAGAAATGACCACTTACATTATTTCCATAAGACACAAGATGCATACTAGTTGATATTATGCATTTAACAGCAACTGAGGAAGAACACTCATTTTAGAAGATTCTTTGCCAAGAGTTTAGACCAAATCCCATTAACTTACTGGTCTTGAGTAACAACTTAACTATTAAGAGTAATGCTATACATCTCACTGAAAAATTTGCTGAAAACAAGTTGTTTGTTTGTTTGTTTGTTTTTCCCCTCGGCTAGCATTAAACAAATTCGTTCCTGAGTAGCTTTACTCTCACAGTACATACAAACTTGAAAGATACTCCAGCAGAATTAATGCTCACTTGTAATCTTATCTATTTCTAGCTTCATAGCTTTTCTGTCAGGCTAAGAGCTTCACACAGAAGTGCTCGCAGTAGCATTCAGCTTTGAAACCCTTCAATTTGAAAGTGCAAAGGTACAGTAAATTGTACATACAGAGGAAGTGCCATAAGGAGTTGTTCATACAGTCACAAAACTTACTTTTTCAAATTATTCATTAAAAGCCCTCTGTCAATAAATCCTGCTGTGACTGAGAGTCAAACTTTTATATGAGATGATCAACAGTATTAACTAATACAAGAACATTAATTCTAATACACAATCATAGAGCTTATGTTAGTAAAATCAGACTGATGAGTAATGTACAGATCACCTCTGTGCTACTAGAGAACTGACTTCTACTGTTTCTGCTTACTTCTTGAATAAGGTTGATGTCTTTCATGAATTCTATGAAGGTGACAAAAAATAAAATTTCAGAAAGTCAACTAGTCAGTGTAGATACATAAAAAGCATCTTAACCTAATAAAAGCCCATTGTCACATATAAAAAAATAGCATCATATAAAATAGAAGACCAATATCCTCTCCAAGATTATTACTCTATCAGACATAGTACCTAAATAAAAAAACACATAAACAGGTGCTTTCAAGGAAGGGTCTCCACATTAGGCATTATTGGTGCAACCAGCATAAGCACAAAATTAAAATAAGCAGGAAGTAACTCACAGCAACTCACGCATGAGATTTTCAGCTGTATTTAAAATTTTCGTGAAATCAGAGGTCCGATGGCTCATTTCTTTGGTGGGAAGGAAAGAAGTAACATGAAACAAAACGGTAATACGTGAATGCGATTTTACAGTTGTGTTAAGCTTTAAACCTTTTACACCACAGACCCAAAATGCCTGAAGGCTCCCACTCCCAGTTCCAACTCCTATTTTTTTTGCTGAGCCTTCCTAAATACTCATACAAGACTTACACCTCCCATCTCATCCAGATCCAGACAAGTCCAGGCCATTCACATTTGGCATCCACATGACCTTACTACCCCCCAGGAACAACTACATTTGCATGAAAAAGTACTCCCTAGAAAAGTGTAAGTTTTCATTACTCTAAGAATCTTCTCTGCTACTAGTGCTGTAGCAAGTACAGAGTAAGATAGAGGGGTCTGCTCTGTTCTTTTAACAAGGCTTCTTCATCCAGTAATCCTAATTGACTGTTAAGGACACAATACTAATTCCTTTTATGAAATCCACACGCTCTCCTCCATCTTTAATGTTTAAACAATCCACGTTTAAACATGAATCCCAATCCTACAGAGACTGCTGCACATTCTACTTTTAGCAACCAAACAGTTTCACAGGACTAGTAAAATGTCGACCATCTTCTTGCATAAAATTTTGTGTAACTGGGGCTGAAAAGTCAGTCAGCTGCCCATATGGCAAAAACGACACCTCCACCTTATGGCAGGACAACATTGCCTTCCTAATGAGAGGGATGCTATACATCAAATACATCTAAAGCATTTTGCCACATAGTATGTAAGACACTATATATGGTATCTATATACATACATATACACACATGTGTAGTATGTGTATAAATATATCGTATTTTATAGATATATATAAAAATTTTTTAATATATTGCCTATATATATACACCCATAGACATCCCTGCCCAAAGATCTAAAAGTACTAAAGTTTTACATGTGATTAGTTTGGGGGTTTTTTTGTCTCTAGGCTTTTGTTTTGGACTACAAAATATCTGGCTATGTATCCGATGAATGGTAGGGAAGTAGTATGAAAAAGTATTCTCTGGACTTATATGTTACCAGAATAAGGTATTGGAAAATAAATGGAGCTGAAATACTGAGATTAAAAACTCTTATTAAACAATTTGGTTAAATATTTATGTTCTGAAAAATATACAATTTTTAAAGTCTTACCAAGAACACTTATACCAAGTCCTTTGTAGTCCACCAATTCTTTCTGTGCTTCTAATAATACCTAACAAAAGAAAAAAATCCACAAATAAATTAAGGAAATTTTCCACTATCTGGAGTCATTGATGCATCACATGTATGCCAGCTGCTCCGGATTGCAATAACCTGACAGTTGTCAAGTGAGATTATCAGAAGTACAGTCACCAACATAATTTCATTGTATCTAGTAGCTGAAGGCTTTTCATAAAACAGCATCATTAAATCATATGCTTGTTGTGGAGGCCATGTTTTAAGTTATTATTTCAACAGTTATATTTCCAGATTTCAGAATGATTTTTATGAGTTGGATGGAATTCACAACCTTTTACAGAACACTTAGTGTTGGCATGTATACTCTTTCTAGTCGAACATCTCAAATACCCACCCCGCATCCCTCCACCCTATGTTCTTTCACTTGACTTGTGAAAATACAGCAACCAAGGTATTGAGGAAAACAAAGAAAAAAAATCAGCCTGGATACCTCAGGAATTGGATACCTCAAACTGCCCAACAGGACAAGGCCTGGTTTGAGAGAATGAAGTCCTGAACTTTTTGAAGATGAGCCTTCACTATGTTGTTGAAAGTTAAGAAAGAAATGAAGCAAAATATTGAGACAATCAAAGAAAACACAGGTAAGTCCTAGGATCCCCAGCCAGGTAATCTGCTGCTTCAGTCTTCAGTTTTTCTTTTCTCTCTCATCACTCTCAAATACTGACAAAGTGGAACTAGATTCTAACCACTGGACCTGCATCCTCCGAATTCAGTAAATTCTTGTGTAAGAGCCAGAACATTTTTAGTTCCTCCTGCAGGATGCCGGAGGAGAAGGAGTCCCAGCAGAAAACCTGCCAAAACAAATGCTCTATGTGTGCACCCTAGGATCTGCCAAGTAAGCACATGTTCGGGACAGTTGCAGGAACAAGAAATCTACCTTGCTGACAAGGTATCTGCATGGCCTGTCAACTGTAACAGCTGGTCACCAAGAGGTCAACCAGAAACGATCCTTGGTGCTTTTGATGTTCGAGATTGTGAAGTTTTAACCCCTGTGCTTCATGTGCAAACTTATCTGTGCCAAAAGGGGGAGCGGGGGGAAAGAGTCAAACTGGAACACACAGACTATTAGAAAGTGCTTGTTAAAAATCCCACTCTGTTAGTAACATTCTTTATCTGAAAATCTGCACGTGCTTTACAACAGACACTTATGATATGCTTTATCATAGCCACAAAGAGCTCCGGTCATCTTCTTGCTTCAGCGAGTCCAAGCACTTCATATGCGGCATCAGCCCGCAATCAAAGTGAAACAGTTGAGGTGATACAGTAGTCCATATAAGAGAACTGCATTTTCAGAAGGGGAAAACACATTAGTAGTATGGAGTTCAGCTATGCTCTTCTCAAACCCTAAACTGAGTTTTCAGTACTCTCTGTTGGAGAGCTGGATACTGCAGCCGTTCTAGTAAGAGCCCCTTTCAGAACCAAGGGCTGAGGACGGAACAACAGTTTGCTTTGCAGCACAATCTACAAAGGGCATTTCCATGAGAAGAGAGAATAATTAAATAACTAAATGTGCTGCATGGCCAATTTATTTACCTAAACAAACTGTTAAAGAAATAACACATAAAATAATGAAGAAAACTATGAGAACAAAAAGCTTCCACAATACACAACTCTTAAATTGAAATTGAGACGCTTACAGTCTGACAGAAGCCACCCCCTCTCCGTGTATAAGTGGATAAACTATGGCTGCTGATGCAACTTTCCAGAGGGTTGAGTCTACACTACGCTCATCACCATTTTTTAAATAAAGCCTTCTCAGGGAATCACCACGTTGTTTATCAGCTGACAGATAACATACTCAGTGTGGCTAGCCTTGCGCATCTGAGGTCCTACCTTCCATCCTCAAACTGATGTAGCCCTTGATGAACGACCATACGATCAGATTCAGAAAAGAAAAAAAGAAAAAAGAAAAAAGAAAAAAGAAAAAAAAAAAAAAAAAAAAAAAACACCACACACACAGAGTAAAAACCACTGCGGGATACCGACCCCAAAACCACATTACAGTGCGTTCCCAACAACCCGAATTTACCAGGGCGCCTGCCTGGGAGGGGAGGAGAGAAGACGTGAAGTTTCGCCGCTACGCGGGTAACTTTTTATCGCCGCCCCCTCAAGCTCCCTCAGCCCCGGCTTTGCCGCCGGCGCCCGCGGAAGCCCCCGGGGGGCGGGGGGACGGGCGTGGGGGGAGGCAGAAGGCGCCGCTGCCCGAACCGCCCCAGCCCCGGCGAGAGCCCCTTCCCTCAGGGCGCCGGCAGGGCCCCCGCCGCCAGCACCGCTCCCCCCGCACCGCCCCGTCCCGCGCCGGGAAGGGACCCCGGCCCCTACTCACGGAGCGCGGCAGCTTGGCCGGCCCGGCCCCGAAGTTCGCCACCTGCCGCCCGCACTCCATCACGATAATGGTACTGACAGTGCTGCTGGTGACGCCGCCAACCGCCACCGCCCCGGCGGCCCCCGCCGATATAAACCCCCCGCCGCCGGCCCGCCGATTGGCTCCTGCCACACACACCCAGGGGGCGGGGCTACGGCCTTGCCCGGCCCGCCCATTGGCCCCCTAGGCAGCGCCTCGGCCCGCCTACTGGCAGCGCGGCCACGAGGCGTCGGCGTGACCCGGCGCGCGGGGGCGCGTCCCCCACCCCACCCCCTCGCCCAGGCGGCGGCAGCGGCGGCCGCCATCACCCCTCAACCGCCCGAGGTGGCGGGTCCCGGGTCAGGGCGCGAAGCGACGGAAGGGATTTGAACGCGCCTTGCCTGTCGAAAACCTCAGGGAAGCTCGCCGGCGTTTGACCGCCCGGACAGGGAGGGGTGATGAACGCACGCCCGACAGTAACTGTAACCGTGGTTTTACCCCGTGCTGCGTTCCAAAAGTAATCTGTGCGAATGCATGAGAAATTACACGTAGCAACCCACAGTTACTATGCATTTCAGATGGTATTTCATCTGGAGGGAAGGGGTTTCACAGTGCCCAAATGTCTCCATATTTTACATGGAACTCCTGCCTCGTAGGGGAGGTGGATCCTCCTCTAACATAAGAAGTACCTGCGTGTCGTGCGCTGTTTCCCCAAACAGCCCACTGCAGGTAAACTGCTATTTGGATTTCATGAAAAGGGAGTAAAAACAAGAGCGCTGTGAAACTTAATTAATTTAATATAATGGATAGCAGAACTGGGACTTGCCTTTAAGACTGCCAAATCCTAGGCTAATGTCCCTAAAGAGTAAACCATTCTCTCCACAGGTAGCTTGGTGTAAGTTCATTGAAAACATAGAGTTACTGCAACTAAACTGTCATAACCGAAGGAAAGACTTCTGCTCACCCAATTTCTTCTATTTGTTTTAGTGAGAGACACACTGCCTTACAATTTTCAGATGTTATTTTAAAGGCAGTAGCAGTCACTGAGTTTTCACGAAACCAGCTGTTAAGTATGATTGAAAACATTTACCAGGTCCCATAATTTTTAAATATCTTGAACAAGATTCATGATTCTCATATGCAGCGGTATAAAGCACAGCTCTGGAACACCTTAGTCTGCCCAGTATCACCCGTGGTTCAGTACTACTTTAGTCCTGTGCATGTTCACCAAGTTTATCACCAACATTAATCACCTGTATACCAAATCTGTATTTTCAGAAATGAAAGTGTTAATGTCTGTTATTTTTTGAACACTGAGATTTATATAAAATATAATTTTTCATCAGAAATTATTTCACTGAAGAAACAGTGGCTACTTTAATTTGTTCCTTTCCCTGTCAAGGCAGGTCATACCTAGAATGATGAAAATAATTTACAGATTGCAGCCTGATTTGGTATTTAGTTAACAGATTTTCATCTTATGCAAGTTATTTTGTTTAAAAGATTGTAAACTGAGATGGTGTTTTTCGAGCAAAGATAACCTTAATTTCAATAATAGCTATAACTTAAGAAAAACCTACCAAACTTGCTTTCAGACACCAGAATCCTCTTCAGTTCTAAAGACATAATAGCAAACTTCATGGACATTGCAACCTGGATACCTTCTCTTCAAAACACTAAGGTATTTTTAAAGTAAGTCTTAGACCACAAGACCCAGAACAACTACATTACATCTAATTATTAAAATTAGCTCTAATTAAACACAAAGCTCTACTGAAATTTTCAATAACAAAATAGGTGTGACTACAATATAATGATTTTTACTAGTCTTAAATAGAAACAGGCTTAAGAGATACGGGCTTTTCCCAGAGGCAGCTTTGAACACCAACCTGTTGGGGAAAAGGTATCCTAGGTATGAAGGGGTAGTGGAAGCAATCAGAAATAGTTTAGGTTGGTTATTCAGAACAGGAATTCTGGCCACTACTGCTGGAAGTGCTTCAACATCCAAGCAGCATCAGTCTTGAATCCTAATTGTGTGGCACAAACCACAAGGTAAATTAAAACTTTGGAATTAGTGTAATTCACACTTCTGGCACAAAGACATGAAAATAGAAGCTAGGGAAGCTGGTGCTGGTATCGGCTCAGAGCACAGGGAGTAAATACCAGGTATTGCAGTCTTTCAGTTCAGGAAAGCCCCATCCTGACCAGAAGGCTCAAAAATAGCAGCTCCCATTAGATCAGAGGACAACTGTGCTGGAAGCCTTGCCACCCAGAGCTGTAGCAAATCTATTTCTCATTGTGCAATGATGGTGAGTAAGTAAAATTGATAAGGATGTATAAACCAGAAAGTTTCCTGAACACAGAATAATCCATTTTTGCTACATGTAAGGGAATATTATGCTTTTCCACTTGGAGAGAATGAAGAGGAATAGTAAAGGTCATGTCAGAGTTTTGTTTCAATTGAGTTAAAATTTCTCCTATATTTTGCTACCAGCAGCTATGATTTAGTATTTTTATTACATCAAAAACCATAAATGCATTATATCAATATTCATAGTCACCCTAAATAAAATACAACCTTTCAAAACCATGAATTCCAGGAATGTTTCTGGCTTCTAGCATTTCAGAGAACCTGACCCTTCAAGTGACACAAATCCCTGCAGATAAACGTGAATTTGCATAATTAACACAAAAGCAGAGTGCTGTATTTACGGTGATGCATAACTGGGGGAAAAAAAAAAAAAAAAAAAAAAAAAAAAAGTATAATATTTAAATAAAGTTTGAGAATTTTCAGTGAACTTTTATTGGGTTCATCATGGCTTCATGTTATTCTGCACAGAAAAACCTTCATCGACTACTGCTGGAAAAGAATCAGCTCATTCAAGGAGAGCGAGCGCACACGAGTTTTCTGTCTGGTACAATAACCAACAAACTGACGTCATTGTTAAAAGACAAATAATGCTGACTACATAGCAACCTGGCAGCTGGGATCCCTGGTCCAGCCAGCCAGTGGGACTAGCAAATTGTGGTGGGACTTAAAACAAGATGCAGGTAGTTCAGATAAGGGTTGGGTTTGTGGTAATTTTGTTTTTCAGAGATCTGGCTCCAAATATTGCAATTATGAAGTGTGAAAAGTAATTCTGGGGAAGCCCAAATGAAGAGAGAAAAAAAGCGTGAGTTTTATAAGTAAACAGTAACATGTTCTCTAGCAAATACCTGCCCTATTGATTTTAGGCTTTTATGTCAAACAAAAACAGAGACAAATATGTAAAACATTAACTAATACCAAGAGGTTGAAACAGTTTATATCCAAACTCAGGGTAAAATGGTTTCATAATCATTTAAAATTTATGTTTTTATACAAACAAAAATAGGTTTTTACTTTTTATTAAAATACTTTATTCTTAAATATAGATACAAAATAATTTTTACTTATACTGTTTTGAAGTGCACTTTTAAATCATTAGTAAAAGCCTTGAAACTTCTGAAATATTCATAATAGCCTTAAAAAATACTTCTTCCCATGTAACTCATATCTGTTATCTCTACCACTTCAACGTTCAACTATATATGATGTATGCACTCCAGATTCTCAGAGTACTATACAACAACACCAGTGATGAGATGGAGAATCCTTCATGTTTCTGATTTTGAAAATAAAAAATGGTCAAGGACTAATCCCACTGAAAAAAAAAATGCCTAAGTTATATACTGCGTGGCCAATTCTGCTTTAAATTATGATTTTTGACATAATTCATACTTGAAAAGCAAATACTAGTAGCATTTAGCATAAAAGGTATCTATGCCACCTGCTTACAGGTGTACAATACATACACCACTTTAAGTTCTTCATGGTATATTTAGGGACAAACAACAGATTGTTTTTTTGAATTTTTATTTTTGAATTTCTAATTTTATCCACCATTTCACCGTGATTAGCCTTGGAGTTTAAGGAGAGAACATGTAGCATTTCAATGCTGAAGAAACTGATTGCGTGTGATTGTTAAACCAAAATCACAAGCAAAGAATCATGACTGAAGCAGTAGACCTCAAAAGTTTGGGAGAATACCTAAAAAATTGCATAGTTTAATATATTACCTGCTATTATTCTGAAGTGACAAAGTCTGTATGAATAATGTACTTTTATTGTGCAATTACTTGTGCAATATTGCAATAGCTAAGGTAATCTCATGCTATTTGCTCATCAGAAAATGTCCGTTTGAGGATTCATGAGTTTCTTCATAATTATCAAGCAATTGGAGTCAGGAATTTCTACAGATCTTCTGTGTTCCAGAACTCTCATGACAAATGACAGAGTATAAAGAAAGTTACACAGTACTTTTCCCTGCCCTCAGTTCAGCCCAAATCATCTTGACTAATTCCTGTATGTAAGAATATACATTCTGTTGCTCCATCACCCTCTGTCCCCCCTCTGCAAGTGGATTACACATTGACAAGAAAGATTAAAATATTCTGATAATTCAAAATCTCAGCTAACACTGTAAATAGTGAAATAAAGGCAAAATACTTACATTTGGTATGTTATTTTAAAAGGCAGTTTTCAAGACCACTGCACAATGTGATGAGTTTTCAACATTTTAACTTCTCATGAAGACAAACGTATGTCAGATTCTACTACCCAGTCTCCCCGAGTTCGCTACTGCAATTTCAGAAATTTCTTATAAATCAGGACTGACACAAGTAAGCGCATGTGAAAAAAGCAATAGAAAGAAGTTATTTTAAAGAAATTAAATTGACTAAAATGGTTTAGGTTGTTTCATTCTTCCAAGTGCAAATTTTATGTTGCTTAAAAACATAAAATTTTCCTGAAATTTGCAGAAACGTTTAACATCTTCCTAATCCCTACAACCTTTCCTAACAAATTTCATTTTACAGAACTCCCATTTATATACAAAACAGTACTTAGTGAAGGAAACATGACTACTGTATCGGGTTCCTGACTGATTGCCTTCTCATGGCACTCAGGCAAGTGTACATATATAAAGAAAGATACTGCTTTATTTTTTCAGGGCCATGCTAAAGTGCATCTTCTTATTATTCCTGGTGCAAAACAAAAGTAGTTTCGGTGCCACATGAGG